ATTAACTTAAATATCATAAACTTAAATGAATCATTTGACGTATCGTTGAAAAAAGTAGGTCTAGTGAGGGTTGGCAAAATAAATCGTAGCCACAAAAGAACCACATAGTAAAATAATATTAACATGAATATCAATTTCTTCTCAGGAGGGGAGACTATTGAGATAAGATCCTTTATATTTATTGAAATTATTGAATTTAAATGAGATAAATATCAAATGATTTGAAAATTCTATTTTAACTCAAAAAAAAAAATGCAAAATTTTGGTAGTTACAGACCGATGTGAACCTCGTACCCTAGGCGTTTAAGATCAAGGTGTAACCCATTCGGCAACTGTTCGTTGCTTTTTGTTGCATGATAAAATTGGCTATTTAATCTAACTCAAATTTAAAAATTACTTTTTCGACTATAAAAAAGTAAAAAAAATTTAATAAGTATAATTTCATATGTCTTATGAACTTTATTCTATGTCAATGATATTATATAATATTCATGAAAGTCAGTTTATTCCCCTAATAAGATATTTTAAAATAAAATAAAATATAAAACCCAGAATTTTAATAAAAAATAAGTATANGAAAATCGAAAATTTTAACACAAAAAAAATAGTATATTTTTGAATACGGTAGCCATTTGTGCATAGGAGATAAGTCGTCGGGATAATTTTTTTTTCATTTTATAGTACATAAAATAAGCTTTAATTTGATATATGTTTAAAGGACGCAGTATTTCCGGAACATTTTCAAAAATTAAGTTGAAAAAGTTAGTTTTTGTAAAAAAGTTGCTATTTTAAATCCCCCCTGTGAGCAGAATAAGTGTTAGATTTTCAAAAAAAAATGATATCAAATGAAAGAAAATTACCTAAGGTTTCAATATAAAGAAATATTATTTTGATTAGTTAATATTTGAAAAAGTTAAGGCAGTTTTAAGTACAAAAAACATTCCGATAGAAGGTGATTTTTATCGTAAACATTACATTTTTTTTATAATTTCGACAGCCATTTGCACATAGAAGATAAGGTGTCGGGACAAATTTTTTTTTTTCATTTTATAGTACATAAAAAAAGCTTTAATTTGATATATGTTTAAAGGACGCAGTATTTCCGGAACATTTTCAAAAGTTCAGTTGAAAAAGTTCTATTTTTTATACAATGTTTCAAAGTTTGAACCCCCCCTATATAAGGCGAAATTGTCTAATTTTAATAAAAAGTATGTCAAATGGAAGATCTACTTATAATGTATTTAGAAAAAAAAAATTGTGCTGATACATACATTTTTCGAAAAGTTATAGCATTTTTAAGTTGAAAATTAAAAATNTTTCAAAAAGTTATAGCATTTTTAAGTTGAAAATTTAAAATCGAAAATCGAAAATTTTAACACAAAAATAGTGTTTTTTTAACTACGGCAGCCGTTTAAATGTAGAAAAAAAAGTTTCGGGACTAATTTTTTTTTTTCATTTTGTAGTACATATAATAAGCTTTAATTTGATATATGTTTAAAGGACGCAGTCTTTCCGGAACATTTTCAAAAATTAAGTTGAAAAAATTAATTTTTGTAAAAAAGTTGCCATTTTAAATCCCCCCCAATGAGCAGGTTAAGTGATAGATTTTCAAAAAAATGATATCAAATGAAAGGTAAATATCTAAGGTTTTAGTATAAAAAAAAATTATGTTGATTTGTTGATTTTTCAAAAAGTTATGGAAGTTTTAAGAAAAAAAAGTGAAAAAATTTCGAAAATTAGCGATTTTTAAATTTGTAATTTTTTTGGATATTTCCCCCATTTGCGGGGAACGAGGGAATTTTTTTCAATTTTTAAGGGTAATGTCTTCAACTAGATACGATTTGTGATCTTTTGACGTATTTTTGAAAGAAATCGGTCCAGTGAGAGCTGAGAAAAAGTGGCAACAGACATAAAAAAAAAAAAAAACACATCATAGTAAAATTAATACCTTCTCAGCTTCGCATCGAAGCTAAAAAAAAAACACATCATGGTAAAATTAAAACCTTCTCAGCTTCTCATCGAAGCTAATAAAATACAAAACCAAGAATTTTAACACAATAATAGCATATTTTTAAATACGGTAGCTATTTTCACCATGTATTCTACTAATAAGATATTTTAAAATAAAATAAAATACAAAACCTAGAATTTTAATAGAAAAATTGCATATTTTTGAATACAGTAGCCATTTGCGCATACAAGATTGGTCGTCAGGACAAATTTTTTTTTAAATTTTATAATACATGACATAAGCTTTAATTTGACATATGTTTAAAGGACGCAGTATTTCCGGAAAATTTTCAAAAATTAAGTTGAAAAAGTAAGTTTTTGTAAAAAAGTTGTTATTTTAAATCCCCCCCAATGAACAGGTTAAGTGTTAGATTTTCAAAAAAATTATATCAAATGAAAGGTAAATATCTAAGGTTTTAGTATAAAAAAAAATTATGTTGATTTGTTGATTTTTGAAAAAGTTATAAAGTTTTAAGAAAAAAAAGTGAAAAAAATGACAAAATTTACCGATTTTTAAATTTGTAATTTTTTTGAATATTTGACCCATTTGCGGGGAACGAAGGAAAATTTTTTCATTTTTAAGGGTAATGTCTTCAACTAGATACAATTTGTGATCTTTTGACGTATTGTTGAAAGAAATCGGTTCACTGTGAGCTGAGAAAAATTAGTGACAGACACAAAAAAAAAAAAAAAAATAAACACATCATGGTAAAATTAATACCTTCTTAGCTTCGCGTCGAAGCTAAAATACTAATACACTAGTATAAAAGTATAAAAATAATAGGTAGCACAGTGATGTCGCGGTAAAATATAGACATGACATAATAGGACAACAGTAGATGATATCTGACAGCGATTAAAATCACTATGATAAGAGACGCTTCGATGCAAATCTGTAGATAGTGTTTAATTTTAAGAAATTGGTGGATTATTTCAAAAGCAAAATTAACTACTATTTTATGTTGATTTTTGGGGGCCCTTTGTAAATAAAAGATAAGGCGTAGGGACAATTTTTTTTAATTTATAGTACATAATGTAAGATTTAATTTAACATATTTTTATTGGGTGTAGCATTTCCAAAACATTTTCAAAAGTTGAGTTGAAAGAGTTCTACTTTTTATACGTACGTTTCAATTTTTAAACGTCCCCTGTATAAGAGGAAATTTGTCGATTTCACAAACGAGAATGTCGGATTAAAGAGGTATATAATGTACTTAAAAACAAAACTTTGTGTTGATCAATACATTTTCCGAAAAATTATAGCAGTTTAAAGTTGATAATTTAAAATCGAAATTTTTAACACTAAAATAGCATTTTTTAAACTTTGGAAGCCGTTTGCACGTAAAAGATAAGTCGTTAAGACATATTTAAAACTCGAAATATTTCCGGAATATTTTCAAAACTTATGACGAAATAGTTTAATTTTTGTGCAAGAGTTGCTATTTTGAATGTACCCCCGTGTGTAGATAAAAGGTCAATTTTACAAAAATATTATATCAAATAAAAAGAAATTACTTGAGATTTTAATATAAAAAAAATTATTTTGATTTGTTCACTTTTCAATAAGTTAAGGCAATTTTTAGAAAAAAAAAATTGAAATAAATGTTGAAATTTATCGATTTTAAATGTAGTATCACATTTTAATACATGTAGTAAATAATACATATACTTAATAAAATATATCACCAAATCAGCGTTTCCCGTGGTTAAGATGAATAAAAAAAAATAATACCCTTACACAAATTCAACTACTCTCTTACACCCAGAGAAAAACCTCGATGTATATAATAAATTCATTGTTCAATTTGATAAATATATCATTACTATTGAATCAATGATATATTTATCAATATGATATTTTTTTTTCTTGTCTTGAACAATAATTATTTATAAGAATAGTTATTTTGTTCGTATTAATAAAACATTATCATAAACCCTTGATAAAATTTCTCTTTCAATTTTGATTGAGGTTTTTCTTTGGGTGTACGCATATCATAATACGCTCACATAAAAGATTTTATTACATTAACCAATGAAATACAACAAAATATATTTCAAGAATCTCACCAGAGATCGCTAACACAGTTTTGCGGGTTATAAAAAGGCCATTTTACCCCAAATTCGGGTGTTCTCTTGGTAACTTTACCGTCTTCTACCGCGACAAGAGTTATAACTACACGACTCTGCTCGTCTCTGTGGAATACTCGGTCAGTACACGTATATGGAATCTGATTGACATGTACTTTGCTTTAAATTATAATTCTATATCAAATCTACACGTTTTTTGATATGAAATATCCATTTCTAATCGCTGGGATTTAGAGAAATGGTTATACATCTTATTTTGGGCCGAATACTTTTGGTAATTCAAATATTCAAACACATATAAAATATTGGTATTCATTTATTTTATATATATATATATATATACACACTTCAAAAAATTACATGATTAGATTGCATTGTGTTCTATTACTTATTGAAGCGCCACAACCTGGCTGGACAGAGTACTAGCACAATAATATCGTAGTCAAAATTTCAAATAATTTTAAGCCTTCTACGAAGTGTCTTTTCATTTTTCGACTAGCCAGTTTGATCTCAGCCGTTTTTCCGAAAGGAAATAGCGTGAACAATCAGAGTGTAAGATACTAGTATAATCTATTGTGCAAAGAACTTAAATTGAGCTCGTATCTACCCTAGATCATTCTGCGGATGACTGAAGAGACATAGGCCATTTGGAAAGAGATTTCTTGCAAAAGAAAGTAATGTTGTTTATTGGTTTTATAAATTATTAAAGTTATAAATGTGTTAGCATAAAACATTACTTTCAAGGCCAAAAAATACACCATATAATTATTCAAAAAGGGTTAACATAATATACCAAAGAATAAATTTAATTTTCACCTTGAATAGATTTAATATAGAGTTGAATTAGAGAAATAGTTATACGCGAATTAACATAGATTGTATAATTTCAGGTGCGTCTACTAGCGCATACATATACTAACATACTTATCGACAAAAGTGACATCAACTGTAGATATGATTCATCTAAACAGAATATCTGGAAAGCTTGAAGATTTATCCATGTTTGCAGTTGATTGCTGACGTTTCGGACTCATTACAGAATCCATCTTCGGAGCGATAGTTGATTTAAAGCGATAGTTGGTTCGCTCCGAAGATTTAAAAAACAAGGCAAGTGAAATCAATTTTAATTTAATCTGTTATTAAATATTTGTGTTTGTGGTGACGCATGATAATTTCTATTTAAAATATTTTTAAATTGAACATGAAATAACATTAAATTTTATTATAAAACATAGAACATATATATACATATTTATGTGATATTGGATCATTTTAAGCGAAATATTGGAACTTACAAAAAACTCTAATATAACACAATTTATTGAGTGGTAAATAATTCTAAAATGTAGTTTTACTAAGATGAATTGAAACAATACATTTTACACTATATCAACTTATGTAACAAAATTAAAAAAATAATAAATATTTTTATATGTATATGTGTATCAAAATCAACTCATAATATTAAGAAATTGGTGGATTATTTCAAAAGAAAAATTAACTCCTACTTCCTTCATTATTCGTAATTAAAAATTCTATGATTTTTTAGTATGAGATAGATACATAATAATTTAGTATTGTAATTTTTTCGGATAAGTTATTAAAACGTATAAAGATATTGTTATTTGTTATTTGAAAAGCTTGAGAATTTATCCATGTTTGCAGTTGATTGCTGACGTTTCGGACTCATTACAGAGTCCATCTTCGGAGCGATAGTTACTGCTCGGTGGCCGAAACTATACTGGCGGCTTATCTTGTTATCAGTTATACGTTGGTTGTTTATCATATTGGTTGTTTACCGTATCGGTTGTTTATCATATCTGTTTTTGACTTATATTGTTTACGGTATCTTGTTTTTGTTGACGACTTTGTTTTTGATTATTGTTGTTGTTTTTGACATTCTTGGCATTTTGGTCTTCCTTTTCTGCACCGACAGTTTTCAATTACGTTGATAGTAACTTTTTCTTGTATTGAACTGTTTTCAGTGTTGTTAGTTGATTTTCTTTTTGTCTCGTGTATAAAGGGTAACCATGTTTTGCTCATTTTCCATCCGTCTTCTCTGTTGAAATTCTCTGGACATTTTTCGATTTCTATTGCCTCTTTGTACATTCGTTTGCCAAAATCAGCTTTTTTGTTTAGTATTTTAACTTCATTGAATTGGATGTCATGTCATTTGTTTTTAACATCCTGGTTGATGGATTATAAATTTTTTTGTACGGTTATTCTTTTAGTCGTATTTTAAGAACTATGAAAACCAGTTGATTCTAATGACGAGTTACGCAGATAATAGTAGATTGCAGAATTACATAGAAAAAATTCTATTTGAATGAAAAATCATTTTAATGATATTATCATTAAAATGGTTATAAGTAGACCTACAATTATCGATTTTAGACCAAAATAACACAAGATAAGATAAACATTTATCGAACTTGTCTATTATTAAATGTAAAAATGGTCATGAGTTGAAAAATATTATAAAACTAAAATTGTTTAATGAAAAGTAATTCATGGTACAGAAAAAACACTATAAATAATCAGATAATTCAATTTAAAGTTAATAACTTAAGCAATTTATATTCAAGTCAGTTCAAACATTTAAAAAGAATAGGATAAAATAGGGGATTCACGCCCCGGACTCCCACCCCATCTTCTGATGGGATGAGAAGAGGGACACTCGTTTAATTTCTTTATAATATACACGTCCACCACCGCCGCCGCCACATTTACGCAATATTTATTACTGCATACAATCATAACCGTTGTAAATGAGTAAACCCTACGCCGACCACCACCACCAACGTTATTTATATGAAAAAACCTTATGTGTTGTTGGGAACACGGCGTAGAGCGATGGACATTGAACATGGTATATCAATTTTGGTGCGAAATAAAATATCAATTTAGCTAAGGGGAACCAATTTGTAGTATGTTTAATTAATTTACAAAGATCGTTGAATAAATCGGTATTTGTTATTTGTTGTGGAGTTAAGGTAACTCCACAAAAAATAACACAAAATTCATTATTAAGGTAATAATGAATTCTGTGTACGTGTTAATTAAGTTAAACATAGGATTCAGAGGGACTATATCATTAGAATAGTTATAGAGTACAGTTGAAATGGGTGTTAGAATGAACGAAGTGGAATGAACAGTACTAGTGGGAGATATTGTTAAACGACCAATATTTTGTATATAAACAGAAAAGGTGCGTTGAGGAGATTTACAATTTAAATTGCTTTTTTAAATTGTTTAAAGATTTTGATTCGAAATAGAAATTTATCACTGATCTGGTTTTTATAATACCGAAAGCAACAATAATCTATTTAAATGAGCCATAAATTATTTTTATGGTAGTCATCAAAGATTTTTTCTGGATCCAATTATTTATAATTTTTATGCAAGAGAATTTTAGTAATGATATATTCTAGGTGAAAATTAACGTTAGAAACAAGATGAGAATAAGATTTAATTTTCTGTTATAGAAGAAAAAATAGCAATAGAAATAGGAGAAAACGCTGAAAAAAAATATTTAACAAATAAATTAGCTGTGTCATTTACATGAGTATTAGTTATGTCATCATTTGGACATAATTGTACATATTCGCACACCTTGTTCAAATAATTGATGTTATGCTATTTTCTTATTTAAGGATAACATATTATAATAATAGTCAAACAATCTGGCATATTTTTAATTTAGATAATTATAATTGTATATATTCAGAACTTAAAAAAAGAAAATGGAAATGATTTCTTCGCTAATTCTTCACCACAGTAAGTACAACATCCATTATTTATTTTACATAGGTTTTTAAAACACTTCTCACAATAAATTTGTGGGCAACGAGATGAATAAGAGTACTTTCCTTGATGAGATGCACATTCAGTACACAAACGGTTGGGTTCGAAAATAATACCTAAACAATTAATAGCACAATTTTACATGAGAAATATGAGAGTAGGAGGTCAACTCTCACAATTTAAAAAAAACGAAATCACATTGAGGTCGCAGCATAGTGGGGATGTGGCATAGTTGAGAAAAGTAAAGGTGATTATGACAGTTATTAAAATCACTACCATAAGAAACGCTTCGATGCAAATCTATGGATAGTGTTTCATTTTGAAAAATTGGTGGTTATTCCAAAAACAATATCTCTTCCTATATCCTTAAGTATATTCTGATTAGTTATTCTTTGAATTATAATATTAACAACAATTTGTAAATTTTTTTGAATAAAATTTTTTATATATAAATATTACTTTTAACTTTGATGCGAAGCTCAGAAAGAATAAATTTTACTATGATGTGTTTTTTAGCTTCGATGCAAAACTGAGAAGGTATTATTTTACTGTGTTTTTTTTTTTTGTGTCTGTTACCACTTTTTCTCAGCTCTCACCGAACCGATTTCTTTCAATGATACGTCAAAAGATCACAAATTGTATCTAGTCAAAGACATTACCCTCAAAAATTGAAAAAATTTTCTTCGTTTCCTGTAAATGGGGGAAACCTCCAAAAAAAAATTACAAATTTAAAAATCGCTAATTTACGAATTTTTTTCAATTTTTTTTACTAAAAACTGCCATAACTTTTTCAAAAATGAATATATCAATATAATTTTTTTTTTATAGATACCTTAGGTATTTACCTATCATTTTATATATTTTTGTGAACATTTGACCCTTTACCAGCCCACAGAAAGGGGCTTAAATTTTTTAAATGGTAAATTTTTCAACTTAACTTAAAAAATCCTTATTTATATTTTTAAATTTATAATGCTATAACTTTTTGAAAAATGTATGGATCAATATAATTCTTTTTTTTATAGATGCATGAAGTCTTTAGCTATCATTTGGTATATCTTTTTTATAAATTTGATTTTTTACCTGCCTAAAAAGGGGGATTCAAAATGACAACTTTTTCACAAAAAATTGACTTTTTCAACTTAAATTTTGAAAGTGTTCCGGAAAGTCTGACACTTTTATATATATCTTAAATTAAAGCTAATGTAATATACTTTATAATGGTAAAAAAAAATTTCGGACTTTATTTTATCTTCATGGTGAAAATGGCTACCAAATGCTATTATTGTGTGAAAATTCTCAATTTTATTTTTTACATTTTTAACATTATAATGCTATAACTTATTGAAAAGTGTATTGATCAATATAATTTTTTTATGGGAAATACTATTTTTTAATAATCCCTTTTTCATTCGACATACTTTATCTTATTAAGTATATAAATAAGGAAATAGCAGATCGTGTAGCTTTTGGAATAATCCACCAATTTTTTAACATTAAACCTAACTAAAGATTTGCATCGAAGGGTTTTTTTTTATAGTGATTATAATCACTGTCAGATATCATTATACTTGATTCAACTGTGTTACGTCACCACTGTGTCGCAACTCCCCTGTACTGGGTTTTTTTTTTGTCTGCTAGTATTTCTCAGCTTTCACTTTCAGATAGATTTCTTTCAATGATACGTCAAAAGATCACAAATCATATCTAGTTGAAGAATTTGCCCTTAATTATTGGAAAAATTTCCCTCATTCCTTATAAATGGCGTAAATCTCCCAAGAAGTTAAAATTTTTAAAATTCGTAAATTTCAGCATTTTTTTCACTCTATTTTCTTAAAACTGCTATAACTAAAAAGTTATGAAAAAAAAATGAACAATTTGAAATTTTTTTTTCATTTATATTGAAACCTTAAATTTACCCTTTTAAATGATATCATATTTTTTTTCAAAAAGTTAACCTGCTCACAGAAAGGGGTTATATATAAAATTTAAACTTATGTTATATACTATTAATTAAAAAAAAAATTCTGTCAAAGTTAAAAAAATGCTATTTTTGTGTTAAAATTTTTTGATTTTAAATTGTTATAACTTTTTGAAAAATTTATAGATCAACACAAATTTTTATTTCTTCATACATTATATATACCCCTTTCTTTTAGTAGAATTTTTTGTTTAATTTGAACATTTCCTCTTCTGCAAGGGAAGTTCAAAACTTAAAAATGCGTATAAAAAATATAACTTTTGAAAATGTTTAGGAAATATTGTATCTTTTAAATATATGTTAAATTGAAGCATATGTTATGTACTATATGTTGAAAAAAATAATTTGTCCCGATGAGTTATTTTTTATATGCAAATGGCTTTCGAAATTGAACAAGAAATGTAATAATTGTGTAAAAAATTATCTACTATCGTGATATTTTTTTTCTACTTAAAAATGCCATAATTTATTGAATAATTAACAAATTAAAATTATTATGTTCTATATTAAAGTTTATGTATTCTCCTTTTTTTATTTGATATCAATATATTCAAAATTTGACCCTTTACTATCCCAAGAGAGGGGGGGGTGGTTAAATATAGCAACTTTTTCATAAAAGTCAATTTTTTAACTTAAGTTATAAAATTGTGCCGGAAATACTGCGTCCATTAAATATAAGTTAAATTAAAGATTATGTTATGTACTATAAATTTAAAAAAAAACCTAGCACAGGTGGGTTGTAGTACAGTTATGACGTGGCATAGTTGGGTCAAGTATAATGATATCTGATAGTAATTAAAATCACTATCATAAAAAAGTTTCGATGCAAAGCTGTAGATAGTGTTTAATTTTAAAAAATTGGTCGTTTTTCCAAAAGTTACACGATCACCTATTTCCTTACTTATATCCTGATTAAGATAAAGTTTGTTGAATAAAAAGGGATATAAATATTATTTCTAATAAAAAAAGGGTCAGATTTATAGAAAAAATATATTAAATGATAGTTAAAGACATCAAGCATCTATAAAAAAAAGTTATGTCTGTTACCACATTTTCTCAGCTCTCACCGTTCCGATTTCTTTCAATAATACGTCAAAAGATCACAAATCGTATATAATCGAATACATTACTACCAAAAATTGAAATACCTTCTCATTTTTGCATCGAAGCTAATATTAATTTCTTGGTGAAATAACAGATCCATTATAATACTATTATTTTGCATATAAAATTAAAATTATCCTAAATTACTTAATCTGGCACTCTAAATGTAATCGATATTAACAATTTTTAAATCTAAAATAAGTATGAAGTACTTTTCATTAAGTATTCTTTGCAAAAACATTTAGTTTTCATCATATTAACACATTTTTTACATATATCATTTTTGCAACATTTCTTGTTTACCAACTCATCATCTCTTTTAGGTTGTCTACACTTAAAACATATGCGAACACCTTTAAAAAAAAAAAAACTTTCATTAAAAGAATATTATTATATTTGACTAGATATTTAAAACTATATTTTTTTAATTNTCTACACTTAAAACATATGCGAACACCTTTAAAAAAAAAAAACTTTCATTAAAAGAATATTATTATATTTGACTAGATATTTAAAACTATATTTTTTTAATTTCGTAAAATAGCGTCAAAACTTTTAGAGCAATTTATATTAAAAAATTCTAAATGAATCAGTAAACTATAACTTTTTTGGTGCTTTGACTCCAACTAAGAACGCTATGGTATAAATTTGCGTTAGATACATAATTTGATAGATTTATTCTATACTATCTCTACACTATAATTTGGATTACAAAATTGGCTGACCCCAAATGACATTTTTGAAAAGAATACTAAAATAAAAAAATTAGAACACATTTTTCAACACTTCAATATAAGTTGTGTCATATTTTTATAAAAGTACTATTACTAAATATAAAAAATGTTCTTTCATTTTATAAAATATAATTGTATGTAAAAATACCACAATTTTACTAATACTCAAACTGTTGTTTAAAAGGGTAAAAGTATGAGTACATTAAGGTATACGTAGGATACGATACAAAATACGTAGGAAATTAATTAATGGCTAGACACATGGAGATACAAATTTTTATGGTAATGTAATTTTAAAATATTTTTTTCAATTTCTAAAATTGAGAGAATTTTTTGAATGATATAATTGACAGTGATAATTAATTCATTAAAAAAAAATCCATGAATATTGAAAAAAATTGTCTGAGCTACTTATTGTCTATCAAATTCTGTTTAGCTTCGATACGAAGCTGAGAAGATATTAATTTTTATAACTTAGCTTCAAAAATATATTTTTTTCAAATGAATAGAGTTATGTGGGGTAAATGTAAACAAATGATTTAATTATTAATTAATTTTTTTTTTAATATACCTTCAAGTGGATTTCCTTGGCAATGTGGACATTTAATTACTCCATTATTTAACCATTTATCTAAACATTTTCTATGCAATGTCTTAAAACAACATGGTAGTTTATAATCATTTACCTTTAATTTTAGAAGACATATCATACAATCTAAAAAATATTAATTTATCACAATAAGAAATATTGTTAACTTTTAATTATATTATTTTATTGATCACACTCTTTATTTCTCTAAATTTTTTGTTATTCGGAAAACACCTAATTACAATTGAGTGGCTATTTAATAATATTTTATAAAAAATACTAATTTATATATAACATTTTAATTTAAAACGTATTGTATTTAGTATTAATAGACATTTTCATTAAATCTAATTATTATCCCGACAATGCACTCCTGTATTTGCTTGCAAAAATCACTCACATGGGGTAATTTACTACTCTAGTGTAATATTTACATATTCTATATATAATAATAAAATTTATATAAAAATAAATACTTCAAAATATAATAATAGAAAATAAAATTATTTTTGTCATAATGCCAAAGCCTTCATGGCAAATTTCTAATATATAATATTTACAAATAAGTTCACATGGTTTTTAGCAAAATATTTTTGTTTTTTTTATGTCAACCTTGATCACAAAAGGCACACTGTCTATAAACTCTGGTACCTTTATGTGATCCTACTTCAGTACTATTTTTAGATCTGTAACATTGATATAGAAGATTTTTATTGATCTAGATAAGACGTCAATAATGTATCATTATACAACTGTTTATCTTGGGTATAACTGATGGTTCATATGTTTTCTAACTAAAGTTTTTATATTTCAATTACGTTTCTAAGGTAATTCTAAGTGTAACTCAAATGATTGTTAAAAACAAACAAACAAAGGTCACACACCCTGGGGAAATCAATTATTTAATAGTATATCTAATTTAAAGAACCTAGATCAAAAGTCAACTTTAATTTAAGTTTTAATTTATTTTAACATTTAACTTTAAATGATGGCACGAAATGCTTTAGTGGCATTAAATTCGAAAACTACTGTAAAAATTAGGCATTAGATATTTAATAAGGCACATTTCATCCTGCGTCAAATGGTTGTGCTGAATCAGTTGTCAAAATCCTAAAATTCCTAAAAAAAAATGCTCATTCTCTATAGACTAGTTAAACAAATTTTTGCTAATGCATAGAAACACACCACATACAACAACACACGAGACACCAGATAAGTTAATGTTAGGGCATTCAATTAGAACAATATTTGATTTACTAATACCCAGCACTAATGAGGTAGTAGTAAATAGTCAAATTTCTCAGATAAAATATGGGGGAAATAGAAACATAAACGTAAAAGAGGGTACTTGTAAAAGATTATAGAAACATAGGAGAAAACTGGCAAAAAGCTACTGACACTGAAAACATAAGTGACAAAATACACAAATTTACATTAGATAAAGGTACCACGTGGACAAGACACGACAATCAAATTTGGGCATTAAACAAAATAAGTGGTTCGTTATCCCCCGTAGGTAAAAATACTAACATAGAAAACAATGACCTCACAGAATCAACCTACCACTCTGCAATAAATGTCCCCGACCTGTTAGAATTAAAAAATCAATTCAGAGTTTCTCTCCATCCGACTACAAATGACAACAAATAATTTTACACTATGTAACACATCTCTGTCTATATGAATGAACATCTTATCTGGTTATAAACGGTAAACTATAAGCTAAATCTTACTCTCTCATCAAATTTCTATATTTAATTATATGTTAGTAATTATATAAAATACGNTCTATATTTAATTATATGTTAGTAATTATATAAAATACGAGGTGTGACAATAAAATAATGAGACTTTTTTAATAAAAGTTATTTATTTTTAAAATTTTACAATTTAATGATTGTCACCTTCAAATAATCTTCCTTCAGCATCAACACATTTTTGCATACGTCGATGCCATTCTTGAAAAATTGTTGCCAATCGCTTTCAGTTAGCTCTTTTAGAAGTTCTGCCGTTTTCATTTTTACGTCATCAACCGTTTGAAAATGGGTT